TTTTTTTTTTGATGTTTTTTGTGTTGATGATTGTTGATTGTTTGATGTTTGTTGATTTGTATTTGTTTTTTTGTGTCTTTGGTTGATTTTGATGTTTTTTGTGTGATGTTTTTTGTGTGAATTTTGTGATTGTTTTGTTTTGTTTTTTTGTGTGTGTTTTTGATTTGATTGATGATTTTGTGATGTTGTTTGATTGTTGTTGTGTTTTTTTGATTTGTTGTTGTTTGGATTGTTTTTTTGATTTTGATTTGATTTTGTTGTTGTGATGATTTGTGTTTGTTGTGTTTTTTTTGTTGATGATGATGTTTTTTTTTTATTTTTTTGATTGTTGTTGTTGTTTTTTTGTGTGTTGTTTGTGTGATTGTTTGATTCCTTGATTTGTTTGTTTTTTTGTGTTGGTTGATTTTTTGATGTTTTTTGATCTGTGTTTGTTGTTTTTTTTTTGATGATCTGTTTGTTGATGTCGTTGTGTTTTGGTGATTGATGTTGATGATTGTGATTGTTTTTGTTGTTGTGATTGTTGTTTGTTGTTTTGTTGATTGATTTGTTGTTTGATTTGTTGTGTTTTTTGTTTTTTTGTGTTGATGATTGATTGGTGTTTGATTGTGTTTTTGATTTTTTTTTTTGTTGTGTGTTTTGTTGATTTTTGTTGATTTTGTTTTTGTTTTGATTTGATTTTGTTTTGTGATTTTGATTTTTGTTTGTGGGAATTTTTTGTTTGTTTTTGATTATTGTGTTGATGTTTGTGATTTTTTTGTTGTTTGGTTTGATTGTGTGTTTGTTGTGATTTTTGTTGATTTTGATTTTGATTTGATGTGGATTGATTTGGATTTTTTGATTTTTTGTTGTTTTGGTTTTTTTTTGATTTTTTTTTTGTGATGTTTGTTGTGATTTTGTTTTGATGAATGTTTTGTTTTGTTCTGATGTTTTGTTTGTTTTGTGATTGATGTGTTTGGTTGTGTTGTTTCTTTTTTTTGTTTTGTTTTTCTTGGTTTTGTGATTTTGTTGGATTGGTTTTGAGTTTTCTTGTGTTGATTTTTTGATTTGTTGTGATTTTTTTGTGTTTTTTGTGGGTGATTGAATTTGTTTTTGTTGATTGCTTTTTTGTGTGATTTTTGTGTTTTTGATTGGTTGAATGTGTGTTGGTGGGGGGGGATTTATTGGGATGGTGGGCATTTTGTGTTTGGTTTGTGATCTGGTGTGGTGGATGTGTTGGGTGGGTGGTGGTTTGTTTTTTTGGTGGTTGATTTTTTGTTGTTGTGTTTTGTTTTTTGTGGGTGATTGTTGTTGTTGATTTTAGTTTTGTGGTGTGGGGTTGGGGTGTTGTGTTGTGTGTTGTTTTTTGTTGTTGTTTTGTTTTTGTTGTTTGTGGTTGGTTTGTTGTTTGATGTTGGTTTTTTTTTGTTTTTGGTGTTGTTTTTGTGATTTGTGATTGTGTTTGTGTGTTATTTGGTTGTGGTTTGATTGATACATTTTTTTTGTTGTTGATTGTTTGTTGTTTTGTGTTGATGTTTTTGTTTTTGATTGTTGTGTTGGGTTTTTTGTGTTGATGTTGGTGGATTTGTGTGTTCTTTTGTGTTGTTTGGGTGTGTGTGGTTGTGTGATGTTGCGGTGAGTGGTTGGTGTTTTTGGGATTGATGTTGTGGTGGTGTGTTGATGGTTTGATTTTTTGGGTTTTGATGGGTTTGGTGTGTGTGTGGGTGTTTTCTGTTGGTTGTGTGTGGGTTGTTGTGATGTGGGTGTGTTGGTGTGTTGTTTGTTGGGGTGGTGTTGTGGGTGTGTGTTTTTTGTTGGGTTGTTTGTGGTGGTGGTGTGAGTGGTTTGATTTTTGTTGATGTTTGATTTTGATTTGTTTGATTTTGTGTTTTTGTTGGATTCTGTTTGTTTGTTTTTGGATTTGTTTGAATTTGTTGTGATGTGTGTTTGATTGTGTTTGTTGAGTTTGTTTGTTTGTGTTGTTTTTGTTGATGTTTTTTTTTGTGTGGTTTTTTTGTGTGTTGATGTTTTGTGTTTTTTTTTGGTTTTTGGGGGGGGGTTTTTTGGTTTTGATGTTGATGTTTTGGTGATTTTTTTGTTGATGATGTGTGGTGTGTTTTGTTGTTGTTTTTTTTGTTTTTGTTGATGAATGGGTTTGTTTTTGTGATGTTTTGTTGTGTGATGAATTTTTGTGGTTTTTGCATTTTTTTTTTTTGGGATGTTTTTTGATTTGGTTGTTTTGATTGTTTTGAAATTTTTGTTGTGTTTTTTTTTTTTTTTGTGTGATGTTGTGTTTTGTGATGATTGTGATGTTGTGTTTTTGTTTTGTGTGATTTTTTGTGTGTTTTGTTGTGGATTGTGTGTTGGATATTTGTGTTCGTTGTGATTGTTTTTTTGTTATGTTGATGTTGAGGTGTGTGTTTTTTGTGTGTTGTATGGTTGTTTTTTTTTGTGATGTGTTTTTTGTTTGTTTTTTTTTTTTGTTGATTTTGATTTTGATTTGGTGTTGAACTTGGTTCTTTGTGGTTGTGTGTGTGATTTTTTTTTGTTGGATTTTGTTTTTGTATTTTTTGAGGATGTTTTTTGATTTGTTTTTTTTGGTTTTGTGTTTTGGCTTTTTGTGTGTGGGGGTTGTTTTTTCTTGGTTTTTTGGTGTGTGTGATTGTTGTGGTTGTGGTGGGGGGATGGGTGGTGGGGTGGGGGGGTTTGGTGGGTTTTGTGGTGTGTGTGTGTGTTTGTTGGGGGGGTGTGGGTGTGTGTTGTTTTTGGTTTGAGTGGTTTGTTTTGTGGGGTGGGGTTGTGGGGTGGGAGTGGGGGGGGGGTGGTGAGGGAGGGTGGGTGGTGGTGGGTTGAGGTGTGGTGGGGGGTGGTTGGCGGTGTGTTGTGTGCGGTAGTTGTGGGGGGGGGTTGTGGGGGGTGTGGGGTGTGGGATCGGTTGTTGTGGGAGGGGTGGGGGTGTTGGGTTGTTGGGGGGGGGTGGGTGGGGGTGGGGGTGGTGGGTGTGGGGGGGTGGGGGGGGGGGGGGGGGGGGTTGGGGGGTGGTGTGTGTAGGGGGTTGGGGGCGGGGTGGGGGGGGTGGGTGGGGTGGTGGGATGGGGTGGGTGGGTGGGGGGTGGGGTGGGGGGTGGAGGGGGGGGGTGGGGGTGGGTGTGGTGTGTTGGGTGTGTTGTGGTGGTTGATGGTGGTTTGATTGTGTGGTTGTGGGGGGTGGGGGGGTGGTTGGGTTGGGTTTTTTGTGTGGGTGGTCGTATGTTGGTGGTCGGGTTGGTGTGGGTGGTATTATTGGTTTGTGTGGGTGTGGTGTTTGGTGGAGTGTGGTTTGTGTGGTGTGGGGGGGGTTGTAGGGATTTTGGTTTTGTGTGTGGTGGTGGGTGTTTTGGTGAGCTTGTGTGTTTGTAGTGTGGTGGGTGTAGGTGTGTTGGTGGAGGGGGGTGTGGGGGGGTAGTGGGAAGTTTGTGGTTTTGGTTGTGTGGTTGTTGGAGTGGTGGGAGGTTGGGGAATGTGGGGGTATCGGGGGGTGTGGTGGGTGAGTTGTGTGTGGTGGGGGAGTTGTGAGGGGTTGGTGGGTGGGGATGTGGTGGATGGGGGTAGTTGCGGGTTAGGGTGGGGTGGGGGTTGTGTGGGGGGGGGGGGGGGGGGGGGGGTGTGGTGGTTGTGGGGGTTGGTGTGTTGGGGTGTGTTTGGTGGGGGGTTGGGGAGGTGCGGTGGGTGGTGGTGGGTGGTGGGTGGGTGTTTGTTTGGCTTGTGGGTTGGGTGGTTGTTTGATTGTTTGGTTGGGTGTGGTGTGGGTTGTGTGTGTGTGTGTGTGTGGGTGTGGTTTTGTGGTGTTTTGTTGGTGGTGGGGGTGTGTGATGGGTGGTGTGTGGGGAGGGAGGGGTGTGTTGGGGTTGGGGGGGGGTGGTGGGTGGTTTGAGGTGGGGTGTGGTGGTTGTGGTGTGTTTGGGTGTCGTGTGGGGTGTGGTTGCGGTGGGGGTGGTGTTGGTGGTTGTTGTGGTTTGATTTGATGGTGTGGGTGGGTTGGGGGTGGTGGTTTGGTGGGGTGGTGGGGTTTTGTGATGTGGTTGGGTGGTGGGTTGTGGTTGGGTTGTGGTTGTTGTGGTGGGTGTGGTGGGAGGTTGGGGTGGGAGGGGTGGTTGTGTAGGTGGGTTGTGGGGGGGGGGGGGTTGGGTGGTTGGGGAGTGGGGTGTGTTTTGAATGGTGGGTTTGGGGGTGTGGGGTGGTTGTGATAGGGGTGTGGGGGGTTGGGTGTGTGGGGGTGGGAGGGTGTGTTGTGTGGGGGGTGGGGGGGGGGTGTGGTGTGTTGGTGTGGTGTTTGTTGGGTGGTGGTTGGTGTGGGTTTTGTGTGGGGGGTGGCTGGTGTGTGCTCGTGTGGGTGGTGGTGGTGTGGGGTTGTGTGTTGTGGTGTTGGTGGGCTGGGGTGGGGGG